AGCTGGTAATGGCATTTTCACAGCCGCTGACGTAAGAAGGGGAGGGGGCTCGATTAGACCCCCAGCCGTTCGGCCGCCGACCGAACTTAGTTTTGCAGAAAAAAAAAACGAGTGCTATCGAACCCCTTGACGAGAGGGAGCCGATGCTACCCAATTATAAGGTCTTGGGCTACTGCGTGCTTTTTTGGTCCTGCCTATGATCTATCCGAACACTTCTCCCCACAAGTGCTGGGGTTAAATGGCATAGATTTGAAATGGTTCCTGTGGTAGAACTGCCATGCTTGAATTTGACTAATTAGGAATGGAAAATATCCATATAGTAACGGAAATCTATGGAATTTCAGTTAACTTGGTTTTGTCGGCAATGGGGTCTGGCAGTGGGGTGGGGAGGTAATAACCCTGCCTGGCGCCCCAAAAAAGGGGGGCACGATCCCCGAGGCCCTGCCGATCACCTTATAGGCATCACAGCTCCACACCTTTTGCAGATGGCCAGGACCCCCTGCGATACATCCCAACAGCAATCTTTATTCAGAACCTGCCTTGATTAACCAACGATGCATTAAATGCGACGGATAACTTTACAATGCATTATTATCAACTATTGAACGGGCCTCGCCGATAGGGGGGTACTGTACCCCCCTAACTTTCGATAGCGGGGGACCTGTCCCCCCCGTCCCCCCCGGTGGCGCCGCCCATGCCAAGACCATCTATAAAATCATTACATTTAATTTAGTATTTACTGTCTCTTTATTTCTAAACCAGTGATTAACCTCTGAATTGTAAAACTTTAGCTGTTGTGTAAAATAATTTAATCAGAATGGCACATGAATATGCATTATACAACAGTGTTTTCGCAACAAGTTCGACTAACTACGGCCGCAATAATTTAGTCGCTGTAACATTCCTTCATCAGCTGTTGGTGACGCTTCTGACGCATGTTTCCAGAAATGCGTGGTTCATTGGTGGTTAGTTGCAAGGCCATATATGTTATTATAGTTGGTTTTTGCTGGGATTTTGCATGATTTGTTTTATGTGTAGATCGACTGGATACTCATTATTCACTGTGTCACTATTTATTTTTAACTGGAAATCGCATATCTTTTTATATCAACATTCATTTTGATAACAATATCATTCCAGAGGCCTAACATTGAGAGGGAGCCAGAGTGAAATTTTGATCCTCAGCCAATGCTGAAGGGTAAGGTGAGAGAAAGATTTTACTGAACTCTTCAGAAAGGAATTTCAAATGTATTGATGCATTATTCATTTTCCACTATCCAGTGTGCACTTCCTGAGGACTTAGCATAGCAATTTCAAGTCCTTACTATTTGTTTGGCTGTCTTTTTCTGCACAGCAATGAAGCAAGTAAGGTTTATATAGCTCTAGCATTGACTCAGCTGTATTTTTTTCTTGCAAAAGTATGTTTTTAAGATTGCGGGTTTTTTGCGGGTTCGGCTCAGACAAAATCAGCTTGCGGGTAGTTGTGGTTGGGCAAGGGGTAGCTGCGGGGCGGGGCGGGTAATGAAATTGCAAATTTGGGGCATCTCTAGTTGGAAGAGCGGCCAGCCTGAGTGGCTAGGCTACCCGCCTGGCAGGCGTGTGTTGCGGGACAGCCTATACGCGCAGTCGCCGCGCCGGCTGGCTGCAGGAGCAGCAGCGCGGCGGTCGGTGCTGCTGCACCGGCGCTGGGCGCTGACGTTTGACGTTTTTGGTATTCTGTTTTCTTTGTTCACATATCACATGGACGACAAACAAGCCATTGCCTTCAATAAGGCATGATTCAACATTGCGCATTGCTTCTTGTACCTGGCCCGATGTTTTATTAAAGTCTGAGGAATTATTCATCGCAGTTTGACCTCATAAAGTTGTCATACGCTAACTATTTAATGTAGCTGAATGATGTTGTGTAGTTTGTTCCTCGTTTGCTTTAGCTGACAGAATGAATTATTTACTGGATGAATGACATCAAACACGTTTTCAATTAAGAAGTTTGGACGCGCTCTTTTCGGAGACGCAAGGGCTGTCCATCCGTTATTGTGTCAGTTTTTTAAATTTATTTTGTACGTATGCCATCGCCATATGTGCCAGTTGTACGAGTTAAATTTTAACTCACATTGCTTATAATATATTCGAAATAAAACATTTCGTTGTGTCGCTTTCATTAGTAAATTAAGGTGATATTTTAACTTCGGGAGTGTTTGCAATTTGCATATAATTTCCTTGGAGCGTGTGCCACATTATTAATGGTTGCCGATTATACTGAATGAAATGAATATGTAGGAGTGTTCGCGTATGTTATGCATATTCGTAATCAGTGATATCAGTACCCGTAACAATCGCTTCTGGTATATGTGACATGTCTTAAAGCTGTCCAGGAAGCTAGAGTGGGTCCTTTGTCAAAACACTACATGCTAGTGTGCCATGTAGGCTTCCATATGACCTCGTCTTTTATTCATAAGCCATAACAGTAGCTGGCACTTGTTTGTGGTGTGGTCCGGCCGTCGGGTCATGTGCCGTGCCGGTCCGCCCTAAATGTGTTATCAGAAACACCTGAATATTTATATTTTCCGATTGTACTCACAGTTCGCAGCAGGTGTTACATGTGAACTTTTGATAATTGGCAAAGGATTCAAACGATATGAATAGGTCAAGTGTTCGTTAATTATAACCACGTAGTATGTCGATGTGCAGGAGTTGCATCCTTTGTGGTGAGAAGTACGTATTAGTGCTTATAAGACATGACTGAATCACACGTACGACTTACGTCATTAACTCATTTGCGTCTTAGTATGACGTGCATCATGACGCGCATCATAACTCACTTGAAGCCTACGATGCTATTGTTTGTCCTGTTCTCACAAGCATCAACGCTGTTCAAACCAGCCAAGGCACAGGTGCGGTCCCCGGGCTGCAAACACATTGTTCCACTGTGTTTGCAGTCCCCGGTCAGCCTAGCGAATTGTTCCACTGTGTTTGTTGCGTGACTGCCCGCCCCCACCGGCGGCCGCGCTGCTCTGGCCGGGTTTTCCGTGCAGCGCGCTCCATCTCCTGCCGTTTCCGGGGCGGCGGCTGTTCCTCTGCCGGGCCGGCGTCTCTCCTCTGCACCGCGCACTCCCCGGCGGCCCGTTTACGGCGCTAACTTTGGCCGGACGGCGCCGTTGCGGCGGCAATCTCGGCACTGACTTGGCTCGTGCGGCGGCCCGTCTTTGTGACATCGGCTGTCAGTTTGGGCAGTAAAACGGTCACTCAGGTGACCAGATAGTGGGCTAGGCGCACCGCCTCGCTGTCTTGTCCCAGCGACCGCTTGGGGCGTCCAGCCGACGGTGATATTTGGGTTGGATTGTTGGTGTTTAAAAGGCATGTGGTTGGATACCCGATGCATTTGATTGACCTGATTCCACATTACCAAAATACCTTGTGGGCGATGATGTTAGTTTAAATTGGATATAACCACTTAGTTCATTCTCAAGGCAAGTTCAAGCTTTATTTTTCCATTGAAAACTCCTTAAAATGAAGTTAAGAAAACTTGTTAACGAAAAATACACCGTCTACGCTGTTTCATTAAACACTGACCGAAGTTGGCGCAGGTCGGAGGGGCGAGTTGGGCCCGGGGTGATAGAGCCGATGCGTCGACTCTGCTAAGCGGGAGAGTGCCGGCCGTTTGTTGACATGCGTGCGGCGCGTCCGCGGCATAACAAGCCCATCGCCTCGGGAGCGGCGGAGGGCGTTGTGCGCGCTCCGTTGGTCGGGCCTGTTTGGAGCTGGGAGTGGCCGATGGGCTGGGAGGCCGTGGTGGTCGGACCACTGCGCTGATTAGCTGGCCGCAGCCGCCCCCGGTCCCGGGGCGGCACGGCGCGCGGCGGTAGTTACCTCCGCTCGGATGGATTTGTTGCCACTGATTGGCGGTTTTGCGGCGATATCTGAGGACGGGCCTGTCCGTCATGGCTACATTCGCTCTCATTTTGGCCAGTAACTGCCACACATGGTCCGACTTAATGAGGAGTTGTGGTCGGATTGTAAGACGAGCGGTCCTGGGACAGGCATTTGTGACCTTTACTAAGCCGAATTGCTTCGTTCCACTGAAATGACCGCAGAGTGAGCGATAAAAGATTCATTGGGCACTGGGCAATAACACACAAGGCTCCTTTCATTAGTGTAAACCTTGATGGACAGTGGTGGACTGTATGCACTAGACAATTGACATATGATTGCGCTTCTTTCAAACAAACCTTGATATCCGTTTTTCTCGGAATTCATCGCATGCGGTTGAGCATGGCATTGCATATGTGGAGTTCGGGCAGCTGCCGTACAGCTGCCATCATACCGCCCACTCAGTGGCCATGGGGACCACTCCAATGGAAGCGATGGAAGACCGAATCCCCCCGCCCGGCAGACGCCTGTGCAGGGCAGTGATCCGAGCTGTGCGCTGTCCGGCCAATGACACCTCAGCGCCGCGCGTGGGTGTCCCATCGCGTGATTAGTCTGACCGATAAGCGACCAGTGCCGGCTGTGTGTCCCGTCCGCTGCTGGGAAGGGTACCTACCGGTGTATGGTGTCTGCTCCGCGGTCAGTAGGTTCGGTGAGCCGGGCTCAGCACTTTACTGTTGTTTGAGCGTAGGAAGAAAGGGAGGCTGTGATGGATTTTGTTTGAGTTGGCGTGGAAGGCCCCAGGAAGTGAGGAGATTTGGTCGACTGAATGATATAAGTACTCGGAGGGCTCAATAACTTTTACATCATGCTTTTACCATTGCCTGTCAGAATTTGTGTGACCTGTCCGCCCTTGGCCGCGGTCATACTGCTAATTCTCCAGTCAGACTAGACCATATTCTGAACATACTTACTCTCGCTTCTAACGCGTCATTACGTGCGGTACCTGTGTGGGTGTGTTTGTGTTTGTTTGTCTGGTAGCCGATGCTCCTACGTCCTGCGTGCGTGTTTTCTGTTGGATGGTGTGAAGTTTGTCGATTAACGTTTAATGTGTGGTCTGTTCTGTGTTTCAGAGCCGGAGTTGCCGCCTCCTCCATCATCCAGTCCGCGGGGCCGGCTGAACCACGCCGCCAGGTATGGAGCCCTCCTAATACACATACATACATGTATACACCCCCGTCCCCACCCTCCCACACCTTACCACACACGCAGACACGCGAGAAGCCTGATTTAATACCCACGATGGCTTCAGCGGTAGCCTGGTGTCTCATTTTGCGGCAACAAGTCGCCATAAATTTACGCTCTAGGGGGACTCAACTCCCCGATGGCAATGGCATATTGGATATTGGATGTACGTGTACGTCATGGAAGTGGAACCGAATTGACATACAGCCACGCTGTTAGTTGAATTATAGTCGCAGCGAAGTGTATGTCCCCATGCTGTTTCAAAGTACAAGTTGTAAAGACTTGTAAAGTACATCACAAAGCGGTCGGACATTTCGAGACGCCCTGATGTTCTATCGTGATAACCAGCATTGTTGCTGTTGAATGGTATATGTTATCGATGTTGAAAACTATTCTGGCTTGATAACGTCCCGCTTGTCCCAGCTTATGACTGAATAGTTGACATCGTATTGCCATTTCCATGCATAATGCATCACCGCATAAGACTGCGTCGGCGTATCGATATGCGTATTGCGTATACTGCGTAGCTATTGGACTTCATCGAATAGCCATACCCAGCCATCGCGGCAATCTACGCGAACATTCCGGTCATATCGTTCAATGCCGCCGTCCACTGACCAAACGCGCTGTCCATACCGGCATACGGTGAAAATTGAGCCGTTACAACGTCCGAGCGCCGGAATATTTGAGCGAGGCCGCGTATCCGACCGAGCCTGGAATGATCGCGGCGATCGCGCTGGGACGCGGAGTGCTGGTGATCCAGGCGGACGGGCCGAGTCGACACTGGGGTGGCCGGTGCGGAGTGGACGGAAAAAGCGGTATAGAACGGTGGAAGAATCATGCACGGAGGTGTATGACTCCGGCTGCGGTCCGCAGAGTGCTGCGACACGCATCTCAATGTCGTTAACGTCTTTCAGACATGGTGAATGGTGGTGCTTAGATGGATGTGTGCGTCTCTCTCTCTCTCTCTCTCTCTCTCTCTCTCTCTCTCTCTCTCTCTCTCTCTCTCTCTCTCTCTCTCTCTCTCTCTCTCTCTCTCTCTCTCTCTCGCTCTCTCTCTCTCTCTCTCGCTCTCTCTCTCTCTCTCGCTCTCTCTCTCTCTCTCTCTCTCTCTCTCTCGCTCTCTCTCTCTCTCTCTCTTTTCTCTCTCTTCTTTCTTTCCCCCTCTCTTTCCATCTAGATATCTATCTGTATAAATGTCCCCCTTCTCTGCTTGTCTCCACCTTTCTATCGCTCTCCTTCCCCAAGAATATCACCCACCGCGGCCTATCCCTGAACTGTCCCAACCATATCGATGAGTAGAGAACAGACCCACTTTTAGCTTCGGATGCGGTGCGTGTGTCACGCCACCCGCCGTGACAGCTCGTGACGCACGATTCGTGGCGCGACAGGCGTGGCGTGATACGCACCACGACTGGCCACGCACCCCCAACTCGTAACGAATGCAGTTCAACTCGCTTGACGCATCAGAGATTGATGGATTCTTTGCTTTTTAAACATGGATATTTTATATTTCGACGTTTCCGGCGGCTGCCGCTGATGTCAAGTATTTCAGGGACTGGACAGATCTTTGCCAGCTGAACTCAAAGATAACTTGAGACGAGACAAGCGTTTTAATTGTTTTTATCGTTGAGCTTTTGGATGGAAATCTGACAGTGGCTGTCACCAATATTGTATCTTGCGCACAAATGTCCTAAATATAGACGTAGATGTTTGGCATTAACCCTGGAGTCAGTCCCCAGCTTCAGGATTGCTGGAAAATCGTCTTTTTGAATTAAATTGGTTCGTGTATACCTCTTTTACCTGTACTGTTTGATAAGGCTAGTTCTAATGAACTCGAGCTAAAAATGTATTGTGCACAGCCGATAATTTTTGCTCGAGGAACAAGCCTGCGCAGCGGCTGGACATCGATATGGATACCGCGTCACCGAACCAGCTTAAGGCCGCCCCACACTGGACCTCGCATGCGGGTTGCGAGTTTGCGGGTTTTGAGTTTGCGGGCATAATACTCATTCATAGAGTGATTAGACCGTTCCCTTATGATGACTCCATGAATGCAGTGAAGCCGGTACACCTTCAGAAAATTACATTTTAGTCGCAATACCAGAGCAACGAACCAAAATTCGATTCCAACGAAAAACCCGCAAACCTCGCAGAACTCGCAGACCTCGCAGCGAGGAAAATCGAAAGTTGACTCAAAATCAACTTTTGGAATGCGATGCAAGGCGGCTCGCAAGCTAAAAACATGCAGACTCGCTTGTTAGATGGTAATGTCGGTCACTCAGCTTAGATTGTATTATTTGATTTTGAAGAAACCCGAAAACTCAAAAACTCGCAACCCGCATGCGAGGTCCAGTGTGGGGCGGCCTTTAGCTGCGCCATCAGCCGGTGTGGGCTGAGCGCCTGCTCTGGGGCGCGGGCCCGAATCGGCGCTATTCAGGCTCAAATCGAGTCATAGCTCACCTGTCGGCCTGCCCTCCCCGGCGGCCGGGCGGGCCGGCACGCTGACCGGCCGGGGAGCGGTCATCAGACGGGCCGGGGAACGGTCATCAGACGGGCCGGCGAACGGCCGTAACAGTGGCACGTGCCGGCCGGCCGGCTCGTCAGCCGACTGCCTGTCCTCTGTGGACGCGGTCCGCCGTCATTCTGTCTGTCTGGGCAGTATGTCAGTCAGGCCAGGGATGACGGCTCATCCGCCGCCCGCTGCCCTCTGTGCGCCCTCCGCCCGCCGCCCGCTGCCCTCCGCGCGTCCGTCCCTCCGCCCTCCGCCGCACGTCACGGCCAGGTCGATTGTGACGTCAGGCCGGCCGCACCGTCCGTCCATCAGCCGGACTCGCTGGGGAGGGACAGCTTTTTCGGAGCGGCCCGCTCGTGAGCGACAGAAATAGGACGTGGGATGTCAAGATGTAATTAAGGACTGCCCTGGGAACAGGACTGGAGGTGCTGGTTAAATTTACTTCGAAATTATAGCTTTTGTGTCGGAGTAATTTATTTATAGATTGTATTGCATCGGAAGCGCTAGTTTCTTTTCAGGTGTTCGCTATTCCTTTGCCAGCTGAGGTGCTCAAATACTCCTCCCAGAAATGATGTGAAAAAGAACGCAGCGAAAAACGAGTTTATGCATACCATGTTCAAATAACAATAGTTATCCTGAGTTCCACACCCCTACAGTCTACACAAGCTTACACTGACTGAACATCACCCATCATCATCCGTTATACCATGTTGCGTTTAATTTGTTGCTTTAATGTATGTTTGTTTATTACGGAGCGAGCGAAGCGAGCGGAGTCTTACGTAGAATAACGGAAATTTCTGAGTATGAGCGGCCGGCCGGCCGTGCGGACGCTTTTGCGAGGCTTATATCTCAGCAACCACTTGACCGATTTACATGCGGTAATTTTTGTAGGGTAGCTTCATTCCTTCTACCAAGTATTGGACTATTCCCGATGCATGTGGGTGACCCCTTATGCACGTGCCACGTGCAAAACGAAGAGGTGTCAGTTTTGTAATTGTTGCAATATCTCGGTAACTACTTGGCCGATTGCGCTGAAAGTTGGCATGTAGGTAGGCACCCACTAGGCACTGCATATACATGTGCCAGAGTTGGGGTGCTGCTGCACGTGCGCACGTGCAGGGGTCGTTTCCAGATCTCGAGAACGGCTCGACCGATTGCGCTCAAATTTGGTACACAGTTAGGGACCGGTTAGTAGGGTGCCGTGCACAAGTCAGTTGGGACCCATTTTGCACGTGCGCACGTGCAGGGTGCCGCTTCCAGATCTCGAGAACGGCTGGGCCGATTGTGCCCAAATTTGGCACATCGCTAGAGACCGGTTAGTAGGGTGCCGTGCACAAGTCAGTTGGAAGTACCCCCTCGCAATTTCGCACGTGCAAGGCCCACCCTCTCGCTCGCTCCGTTAGTCGCCCCAAAAGGCGTTATACTGGTTGTTAACGTTAGCTGATAACATACATGAAAAGTATGTTTTTAGCATGCTATTAATTTCCAGTGACTATTAATTATGCGTATATAACTTTGAATATGAAACATGTCTTAATTTTCTGTTGCTCTTTATTTTGTTTGTTTTGTTGACGTGGTGCGCCACTCCGGCTGCTGTTACGTTGTCTCCTTTTTCAGCGCTCCGGTCTGGCAAACATCCATCCATTGTTCCCTATTTAATTCCTTAGCTTTATTTCACCACTACAGCGCGCGCTCTGCCATTGCTTTCTGTCTCGCGAATCGAGGCCCGTCGACGAGTGAAGACAGGCATACTCGGGGGCAGAGGAATTGAATTGTAGCGGGCCTCTAACCGACTAGATCGCCTTATATTTCATTTCTTTCCTCCCGATAGTTTTCCTTATGCGGGGTATCCGTCTGCGGTTCGGTTTGAAGCGTTATCGCCCCTCGCCACGGAATGTTCACCATTTCCATGTCCCGTTCTCTCCTCTCCTCGTGTCGCGGCGGTTGCCACCCGACCACTGCGCCCGTACTCACCCCGGACACTCGACCCGGGCACTATTCCGCTCTGCGAATTGAATATTCAGCCGGGCCCGGGAATCCACTACCGGCCCACTCGGATAAAGTGCATTAATCGTCGAACAAAGTGGATTACTCCTCTCGCTCTGTTGGGGTCCTGTCGTCGGCTCACGGCACCTCCATTTGTCGTCACTGCGTGCTCTCTCGTCCAAATGGGCGTGCTCGCCGCTTGCTGTGGCGGCTCGAGCGCACCTGTGCATAACTACTAATCCTACTCAATCAAGAAAGAGGGCAATACATTCATCCCAGAAGAGAAATGATTTATTCATTCGAACATATGACTCACCCCACCCCAAACAGCATGCGGTTCCATGGCTGCGAAGCGGCCTACCCTGTAACCGCCGCGGTTAACCACCAACTCGATGAATTATCTTTGTATATCACTCGCTCCGGCTCATGCACTCAGTTACACCACATTCAGTCACACGTTACACCATATGAAATTACACCACCGGCCTCCCTCAGTCCGCGCGGTAGACCCGTCCAACTCACTATAGGTCCTCCCGGGCTCGGCTCAGATCGAAGATGGTTATCCTCCGAGTGGCGACCCTGGGGACAGAGACTGGCTTACATCCCAGCCGCGGCGGCGCGGCGGCGCGTGGCGCTAATACTAACCTGGCTCAAGTGTGTACAGCGCGGATTTTCGCCCGCCCCTGGGTGTTGTGGCTGGCTAGACGTGCCGTCGGCGGTGGCTCCTTGGCGTGTCTGTTGTGCTAATGCGGGTGTCCAGAGATTGACTTGGGTGTCTGCGGGGGGGGGGGATGAGGACGCACGGGGGACTGCACGAGGCTGGTGATGGGATTGTGGCTAGTCTGGGCCGGTACGGGGTTGGATTGTTGGTACTTTGGTCTGTCTCGGTCTGCTTTGTGGTCCTCCGGTGGTGGTCGGTATATGGTCTGTTGCAGCGGTGGTGGTCTAGTGGTCTGTCTGCTTTCTCCGCCTCAAACCCGCCCTTATATCCCCTCACTGTCGAGATCCTCCAGTGTCGAGTGTGTGCGACCAACTCCGAGCCACCACTCTGCCTGTGATATATCTGTTTTCGCGTGGTCGTGAGCGTGTTTACTCGGCTGTGAAAGCCCGGCGCTACCGTTTACGCTGCGGCCTTGATTAGCGTTCCACCTGTAGGTCAGCGGGTGTACCACTTCTCTTTGTTTGGAGCCCGGTGAAGTATGTGCACTTCCTAGTCGCCGCACTAACAGTAGCAGTGTGCCTGTGTTTCTCGCTAATAACAATGGCTAATTTACCCCTCTGGGTTATGATGACGGTTCGTTTGATGGAAACGAACTACCTCGTGCCTCCTGTTTGTTCTCAAATAGGAAGACTGAAACTTTGATGACAGGCTGTTAGCCGAGCTCAAACTAAGGACGTGTAGAAAATAATGCCGTATAGCTGGCAAGCTTTGTTGCTCGCTAGTGCCAATTTGCTAACGCTAACAACAAAGAAACTTACTCGGTAAGAACATCAGACGAAATGTATGCTAAACAGCGATCCCATCAGCTTGAATGTGTAGAGGAGAAGTCTCGTTTTACCTCATTTGTCCTTGTTGAGCTAGTTTTTTATAGTTATTTTTCTAGGCTCAGCCTCTTTCAGCTCATCATATCCCAGCTTTGTTATAGGTCCTTACCTCAAGCTTTGTGCATCCTGACTATTGGTAGCTTTACTAACCGGCATCTGTGTGCTTTCTAACTGAGCGGTGACGGTCTGCTTTGGTTCCCGGTCTGCTTTGGTTCCTGCCTGTCGCCTGCCGCCTGCTTACTAACCGCCTGCGCCACCGCCGCCGGCAGAGAGCGCCGCTGGGCAGATCTGTCGCCCGAGTCGGAGCTGGCCGACCCGGCCGGCTGGCTGGAGCCGGACGGCGACGAGCCGGGCGCGCCCGGCGCCGGCGAGCCCTCCTGGCAGCGGCTGCGCCAGCCCTTCTCCCAGCTGCTGGGCCGCTACCGGCTCTCGCAGCCCGTCTCAGAGGCCGTGGGAAGGGTGTCCGGCACTCAGGTGGCCGCCAGCGTCGGCCGCTTCTTCGAGCGCCAGACGAGCCGCGTGCTGTCCTGCGCCGGCGGCCTGGGCACCAACACCTGGCCGCCGCTGCCGTCGCGGCTGCCGCAGCTGGCGGCCACCGGCGGCGGCGGGCACCAGCCGCGACCCTCCCTCGACCACTTCCTGATGGCCGGCATCTCGTCGGTGCGCGCCCGCCTGCAGCCGCGCGCCGCGCCGCCCAGCCGCCTCTACGACCGGAGCGCCTCGCACCCGCCCGAGCCCTCGCCGGCCGCCGCCTCGTTCGCCCCTTACGGCCACGCTGTCCACAGTCTGGAGAACCTGGACCCGACCGCCGACGAGTTCTACGTGGACGCCGGCATCCGGATCTCTGCGAGCGACCTGCGCCAGCTGGAGCGGCCGGATTCGGCGCCGGGCGAGCTGCCCCCGCCGCCGGAGACGATCCCGTCGCCGCCCCCTGGCCAGGGGGCCGGCCGTACGCCCACCCGCCGGCTCCGTCCGCCCTCCACCTACGGACGATACTGCTCCGGCGGCGAGGCGTCCGGCAGTCGAACGGCAGCGGCAGAAACATCACCTCACACAGCGCCACCGTCCCCGTCGGCGGCCGAGTTGGCCGCCCGGTGCCGCTCTGAGGAGAGCCTGCCGGCCGGCGGCGGCCGGCGCACCCCCGCCCGGCGGCCGGCCAGCGCCTACTCTCCGTCCGGTGTCAGCAGCACCCAGTCCAGTCCCGGCTGCAGTCGCACCTCCAGTCCGGACGGCCGCGCGTCGCCGGCCTTCTCCCGCATACCGCTGCGATCCAGCTTCGGCGCGGGGAAGACGAGCAGTCTGCCCTCGGCGCTGACCCGTGCCCGACGAAGGTGAGCCTTGTGTCGGTGGATTCTTTCTCGGTGCGTTTTGGTCTTTTTGTCGTGCCTCAAACATCCTGGAATTCATGGTCGCATCATCGCCTGTTGCGCTCCGGCATCCTCATCCGACATCCTCTGGAAATCCGACGTCCTCCGAACATCCGACACCATTTCGTACATCCGACAACATTCCCAACATTCGACGTCATTCCGGATATCCGACGTCATTCCGGACATATGGCATCCTTTTCCATTGGATATCCGCCTCCGGAGATGTCTTCCTGATCCGAGACATTCCTGTGTTGCGCCGCTTTTTCTCCTCTGTGCAAGGTTTTCTAACCGGCTTGCCCTCAGCATTTTGCCTGTTGTCACTAGGGACGTATCGTATTCTTGTTGTGATGTTGTCTGGCTTTTCGTCCTGCCTCCTTGGTGCGTCGTATTTCTGGGAATAGTTAGTTGACAAAGGTCTATTGCGTTATCAAGTTAACTTTGTAAGGTGTTGGGCTCGCTCGAGCTTTTGTGAATGACTGAAGATAGGCACAGGTGTAATGTGTCTATTTCTCGGCACTCGAGCTTACGTGTTTTGAGATACAACGTATTTTTCTTAAGGCCGTTGGCGAGACCGTTGTTGAATTGTCTAGTCAAGAAAGCGTCGGCATGCTTCATCACAACGTTTACATCCGTAAAATGTGATGTTCTTCGTTTCAGGAAAAAGTAAGCGCACACCATCTCCGGCCGCGGACAAGTGAGGCAGTGTTACGACTAATTCGCACTACCAAAGGAGCAATGCATTTCTGAAGAGGATGTGCGGTGTCACTGCCGTCAGCTGGGGTTGCACACGATCGGTGTGTGCAGCGCACGCGCCACTCGAGTCCCGAGGTCAGTATTACGCACTGCACCGAGTCACCACCTAGTCGGCCCGCGCGCCGCGTCTAGTCGTGTGGAAAATAATGAGGCTCACTGGCTAGTAGCTGCGCTCAGCAATGTTTGTTTATAAGTCGAGTGTGAAATGTCGTTCACAGATAATAATCATGTCAGCGTGCAATGTCTCCTTAGATGGAGAATGATAGAGAATCGGGTACAGTGATGCGTTGACTAGTTGTTTTGCTCGCAGCCACCCCGAGCAGTTGATTGAATTGTGACGGTTCAGTTGGAGTGAGTTGGATCGATACGCACACGTTTAAAGTGAGGCTCGGCGCACACCAGCCAGTGCGCTGACAACAATGTGAGTTAGTTTCCACCAGGCTTTCTTTGAGGACCATATCATGTACAAGGAGCCGGTAGATGTGTCAAAAACGTCATCATTAGTGCTGCTAGCTATAAATCCCATAGCAGTTTGCCATTAGCATTTGTAGTAGGTAATAAGTGAATGTGAAGAGTAAGGTGCAATGACATTTCATCTGAGTGAAAGCGCACGGTGGTCTGTATACTATCTCGCACTGCCCTAGATGTGGGTTAAGTCCGCCGGTTAGTCCTCTCAGGCCATGATAACGTCACGTCGAACGTGACGTAACGTCCACCAGATGTGACGAAGCGTCTAACAGACGTCCCAGGTCTGTAGAGGACTCGGAAGAGTCTGGCCGCCGGCGGGCGAGGCGTGGTTTCGACTGTGGCCCGGTCTGTGCTGTGTTCGTACTCCGTGCGTGTGAGACTGGCGGTCGGGGTGATGGAAAGTCGCGAGATGTGATGGGTGGCGGGCTGACCCGCTGCCGCGTACAAAGTCACGGGTGGAGCGGGCAGCGCCGCTCGTCGTCCGTAGCCGACGCCCCGTGACCCCTGGTGACCTTAGCTGACCTCAGCCTGACCTCGGTGGGTCGACTAGTGGGGAGGGGTGGAGAGCGTTACACCAAATTTACTAGCATTTTCATTTTAGTGGGTAGACCTAGCGTACGGTAAATAGACTAGGAGACTGTGTTGTCTACAAGTCACTTGGTAGTGTGATAGCCAACGAGTGCTAGATGGTGTTGTGGTTTGTAGTGAAATTCATTCCTACAGTGATATCGTGTGGTTTTGGCTTTTACATACTATACAAAAATATTCCTAGAATGTAAGAGTCTTTTCTCTAAGCTCTTTTTAATCATATCTTCTTGTCTTCAACATTGACCGTGCCCAATTCAACTTTTCTGCGTGACATCGTGATGGCTAGTCTAATGATTTGTTTCGAGTTGTGTTGTCTGCCTACGTTAACTCACAAGTTATAATTATGATGAATTGTTCGTTTCGCTTTCATCCCTGCTGAGAAATCACTATGCATTAACCAGCAACGGAAAACCAAAGCTTTATACTCCCCTGAATAGTTAGTGTTGCTATTATGTTCTCGTTTGTGATCGCAAATGTTCCGTGCTTTTTCACATCTGCCCCCGGAAACAGGACCCATGGTATGGTTTTACGAACCAAAATAGCGTTTGCCTGACCAGTGACCATAATTGTGTACTATTGAGCAGTTCGCCCTGTACCAACAATAGTCTAATCGCCAGGAGTATTATAGGTTTGTTGAAATGTCAGTCATACGAATGGTCCGTTCGCGTTGTCTGAATTGTATTGTGTGTATTATTAGCAGATGCGTTTATTTTAGTTGGACCCAAACTGGCTGACTTTCAGTGGGACATATCAGAGTTTCGTTTGTAGGACGCTCAAAATACAGCTCAGTGTCCTTAGCATCGCCGGAGCCAGTGGTGTCACAGCCGAGCTATCGGTCAAATCCACACGCATTTACTTTGGTAGCGTTCCCGTCCCCAATCGTCCAGTATAAGTCAGCTCGTCGCACTTCTGTTATGTCCAGCGGTCCATTCACATTGTGTATCACCCAGCTGTTATTGATGTGTTCATATCTGAGTCACGGTGATTGCCCGAATACAGCACGTGTCGAATACGAGACTCTGTCTTTACGAGCGCTGAACACCCGTGACTCCATCTTTCTGACGAGTGAATGCGACCCCGCAGTGATGGGGTCACACCGACTGTGCCATATCGGTGCCGATGCCACGCGAATGGCGCCGCTCTCGTGACGTGACGCGGCTCCGCGTGACGTGTCGGGAGCGACTCGTGTCGACCGTGACGGTCTGCGGCCGGGCCGTGACGACTCCGTGCGGACCAGTGGCTGGCGCCGAGCCGACGAGCGAAACACGGACAAAAGATGGAGGTCGTGGTTCCGAGCGGCTGGTTAAAACGGATAAGATGCTAATGAAATTCGTTGACAAGTTTTACGAATACGATAGATGTCAAACTTGACAAACTTACTGAAGCTCCCAGATTCGTCATTCAGTAAGAAATAATACATATCACAATTTACATTTTTTGTCACCAACATTGCAGCTTGCACAGAACTCTTTGATGTATATTATTTGCTCTATTAATATACGTTGATGTTGCACCAGAAACATCATCAGTGCATCAGTTGTATCGCAGCGTTGCTGTTCAGTTCTGCTGTCATCTGCAGCATTGAGCAAACTTTTTCATTCATCTGTAGGTATTGCCTAACCGCGGTAGATTATCTTTATCCTGGTTTTGCTTTCCTACTGCTCTCGGGAAAGAGTCAGTACTAAGAATTCATACTAAGCATTACCGTTGAAGATAGTTAAAAATCTGTCTGTATGCGTAGTAAATTCAAGTCTTCGTTTTGTTATTCCACCTAGTTGTATGACTGACGTTCCTCCGACTAATCTGTGAGCAGTTGTAGACTGTGCTCTGAGCGTAATCCGGACTACCGGAAGTGCCAATGACTGCCCGGGCTAATTGGCCAGCAGCGTTCTGCATGACAGCTCCAGGCTGAATCCTCCGCTCCCTAAGGGACCTGGAGGAGGGGCTGATTGCACGAGGATGCCTGATTTAATCTAACTTTAAATTGGCGTAACTTTTCCGGCGGCACAGCGAAGATGTAAATCTCGCTCGAGCGGTTCATTGGTGGCGCCATTATGTCTTAGTCGCTGGGCCCTCGGCTCCGATTAACTTTCTTATAGTCGATTCAGCATTTTTCTTACCAGCCGGACACCAATCTCCCTGCGAAGGCAATCAGGGTGTCTGCCATGAATAGACGTGGAGTGGGAGGACCCTTCGCTAACCGGCTGCTAGTTCTAGTCTTAACGGCCATCGCTTCAGTGCTTTTAACTAATGACAATGATTGGGCGAACTGGAAAAGGTGGCAATAATGGTTTGTACAGTCCACAGCTGAAGTAATGTGGGGTTTCAGTCATGGGTATGTTCTGCTTCTGAAGCTTAGGAACAATTAACCAGACTACAATGAAATTTTGAATGTAGCTTATATGTATCGTCACCGTTGCAGCTGCAACTTTAGGTATTGACATCTTCTTTTCGATCACTTCGCATTAAACAATCGCCAGTCAAAGCCAACCGTTGAGATTGGTAAAACCCTACATTACTTTAGCGGTGGGCTGTACCTACCCCAGCAGATAGGTATGCGAAGTGTCAATGGGGCAGAGCTGGATCTAGTTTTCGTCCAACCGTAATCCTCGTGAAATGTGTCCACGAATCATCCCAATGTTAACCGGATGTTGCAAGGTGCGTTGGCGTCATGTCTGCGCGTAGTTAATTGTTGGATCCGTGTAAGAAAACATGTGCGCACAGCCGGATTGTGGGCGGAATCAATTTTCCACATTTGCGTACCAACACCGAAAAGTTGGTCTTTCTCGCAAACTCTGAACCGACTTTGATTGCCCCACTGCTGGGGCGTGGACAGAACGCTGTGACGAGAATGAAGGCGATACAGTGGGTGCACAACAGGCGCCCACTTTGCGGAGCGGGTTATAAGGGACAGGAAGCGCTTCCTTCGTCGTTTCTACTAACTTCTACTTATGGGTATATCTGGCTTCTAGTTTTGCCTCTTACATCCGTTTCCATATGTAGTGTGATGAAGACTTGTATCTATTTTTTAAACACAAACGTACATATAACGCCATTTTGTCTCAGAAAGTCTGTTACGGATGATAGCGAGGATCTGAACATTTAATTGGCGTGCTGGATTTGAAACAAAGGCATTTAGAATAAATGTGTGCATTGTGGTATAACATGCTATTACGATCGTGTGCGTCTTGTTGAGAAGCTTACGCCCCTAGGCATAAATGTCATAAGAAGATCGGTAGCCGGTAAATGTCGGTCGAAAACAGACCGTAGGCATTCGTTGTTAAAAATAGCGCTTGGTTGGCAGTATGTAATCAATTGTACGAATTACGAACTGGCGACAGGTAGCGGCTTACCGCTTACGTCAGTCTAAAAATATATAAAGCGATGAAACCTGTGCCTATAGCTGTTTGGTCCAGCTAAGTCGTGCGTCATATATTGCAGAATTAGTGCGATAGACCCCCCCCCCCCCATTACTGTGCATTTTTAGGAGAAAGGTCAGAGGTCAATGATAAAGATCGTCAAAATTGAAAGTCTCTTATGTTTTTTTTTTTAAACAAACTAGCTCAATACATTAATACTGATAGCTACAGCATCGCCTAGGAAACTGTTCGTAGATTTTCTACAATCGTTTCTGTATAGTTTCAGACTTGGCTTCTGAAACAGTTTCCTTCCAGTCCAGTGACCGCATTTACAGTCACAGATTAATGATGTTACTCGTAAGCAAGGGTAAAGGTAAATAACGATAATAGTGAGTTATTTTGTGGTTCGATGTCTCCGGACTTAAACCTTAAAAGCGTTGAGGTCTTATTTGTGAATACCGCACTGCATACTATCTCGGGGTATTTACCCCGGGTAAGTGTAAAATTTGATTGTGAATAGGTACGCTTAGGTACGTACTGGAGGGAAACGGTCAAACATATATTTTTGCTCTACCTATGGTAGGTATGCGGAATTTCTACAATATTTCTTGCTCCAATAGAAAATTGAAATGCTATTGAAAGAGAGGGGGAAGGGACAGATACTTGGGTGTTAATCTGCTTTTTGTGATTTCAGTCGAATACCAAAACAGCAAACATCTAATTCAAAGGCCCAGATTCACAACACAGCTGCCCGGGTGCGGTTTTCATAAATCGCAAAGGCAGCTAGCTCAGAAAAGTTTTAGAGGCTGCGGCCATGAAGCCATCAGTACTGGTGTCAGACCCTTTGATATGCAAATTAGGTTCCTCGAGTGCGAATGGCATAGTGGCACACAATGCAAAGAAATTAGCTGTCACAGAGTCTATATTTTACTGTCAAGCATATTAAAATTTCCATTGAAGCAAAAAGGGAAACCGAGCATGCATGACCAAAGTTCGACAAAGTTAAGCATAGCGCTACATACTGTAATGCAGGTAGCGCAGCAGCTAGTGCTACCAACCAGCCTTGGCTGGTTGGTAGCACTAGCTACCAACCAGCTGGTAAATCGATTTCGACGATTGTCATCGTCACGCGTTTTCGTTGCACTTTTCAGCTTGCGATATGTTACGTAGGTCTGTCTGTTGCCTATCTTTGCTCTCCATTCGTGAACAATATGAAAGTTACGTATGGGCATGTTTCCCCGCCTTTTATTAAAAAAAAAACTCATTACAATTCTGAGTTTTATTCTTATACATCATCGTACCAATTGATACGATATGCACCCGACGCCCTGTGGCGGTCTGCATGGTCCTATGACGGGCACGTGACCAACTGGCGGCTGACGACCTTCCGTATGTGATTAATTGCCTTCATACGGACATTCGCCAGTCCAGTGAACCTGTCGGCCGTCTCCGTCAATGACCTCGAACCCTGGCGGTCTCGGCCCTCCGACACGACCCAGCCCTTCAGCCCGTGCCATGGGACAATCGACAATACAGTGAATGTGAAGGGGTTTCAAGTGGATGGCATTGAGATAGGTATTCATCAATTATAATGAATACCAACAGAAGGAAGTGTTTCCTAGAAGTTGACATGCCTCTAAAGTCCTTCGTTGCATCGTTGTGCTGCAAGCGGCGAATATTTTGCACATTGTCGTCCTTCTATCAGATGACTAGTACAAATTGACAGAAGAATGGTTCATTGGGAGGAACGTTGGCTGCTCAGTCATTCAGCGAACATGAAGGTGGCCGGGAGTGTCCGTGCATACTGGGTCAGTGGAAACGTTTTTTTTTTTTCTCTCGGGTAACTGCAAGAAAGCAACGGGCATTTTAACTGCAATATTTAGGGGCACTGGCGGATCCAGGGGTTCAGCGCGGGGGGGGGGGGGTATACCAGGTCACGAAGGCAAACCTAGGGTACCCCCAAATCCTGTTTTCTCATCGGATTTAGGCCACTTATTTTTCGTCATAGCTCTGACACGAGTTTTTTTTTTCTAAAAAAAAAAACACAGAAATGGTAGGACACCTGACCCCCATTGGCAGATCCAGGAGGAGGAGGCTTTTGGGACAAATACCCGGGCAGCGCCAGAAATCGACGAAAATTGGTGGGGCCGTTGGGGCCCTCAGCCCCTCAGAATGACTGGTGTATAGAGCCGACCCAGGGCCACCGGTGTGGAACCTTAAGAGGTACTAGCGTGGGACCATCAAAGGTATCGGTGTGGGTTCCCCAGAGGCAGTGGTGTGGGGCCCTCAGAGGCACTGGTGCAGGAACCACAAAGGAGCCGGTGTGGGCCCTCTAAGGTGCTGGTGTGAGGCCCTCACATGGACGTCGCTGTGGTGCCTCAGACACTGGTGTGGCGCTAAGCCCACACCATTCACAGATGGCTGTGTGTGGGGCCCTTGGAGTTGTTGGTGCGAAATGCGAATGCTTAATAACCCAGTAGGACCTCTCAGGGACCGACAAAGGGCCCTCAGAGGCCGGTAACAGGCCGTATGATGCAAACAATGGGCCTTCACAGGCCGGCAAGTGTCTTCAGGAGCCCTGTGGAATCCTTAGAGATCGGCATGGTACTCTCAGACGCCGGTGGGGCCCTCAGAGTCACCGGTGTAGGACCTACAGAG